GGGTCCATATAAACATCAAACTCATGATGGGTATAAATACTTTCTAACCATTAGTGATGATTATACACGCCACACTTGGATTCATTTATTAAATTACAAGTCACTATCAAATATATTCGAACTAAAACTGGAATGGAGATTGGATCTAGTTTAGATGGGCAAAATTGCTTTCAAACAACTAGTATAATTCACCAGAAATTATCCCCTCATACCCCTAAACAAAATGGTTTAGTAGAGAGAAAATATAGACACACTCCTGAAGTTGTTAGGGAATTATACTTTCAATATGGTGTTAGGAGTTCATATTGTGGTGAATGTACCAAAATGGTTGTTTACATCATTAATAGACTTCATTCCAAGGTTATTTACAACAAATCCCCTTATCGGTTGTTGTATGACAAAGAACATGATTTCACAGCTTTGAAAACATTTGGATATGTTTGTTTTGTGTCTTCTACACCTGTTAACAGAGACAAATTCATGTCAAGGGCACACTCTTGTATCTTTCTTGGATATTCCTATGGTCAAAAAGCTTTTAAAGTGCTTAATTTGATCAATCAAACCATTCACATTTCAAGAGATGACAAGTAATATATTTCCTCTGCATGCTATTAAACATCCATGATCCATATCATATATCCCTATTACCTCATATGATATTGAACATTCACAACTCGTACCCATTTCTACTCAAAATGCAACTTTTCCAGAAAATGACCATTCTACCCTTGTCCCAAGATATAAAGAAGCAATGTAATTTATTTTTCACTATCCTACTTGAATGATATATGCACTCATGTTACATCATAAGAATCTACATATCTTTGTATGCATACTATTACCAATTTATGTATCAATGAGAGTTTTCAACATCATTATATTGACAATCAAATGTCTTAAGTTTTTTCCTTGACATCTATTCCTTTTGAGACTTCATTTAATCATCAAGAAAAAGATATAATACAGTGGTAAATGGCTATGCAAACTGAAATCATTGCCCTTGATGCTAATATGACATGGCACATTGTCAAACTTCCCCAAGGAAAAAGGCCGATTGCTTGTAGATGGGTCTATAAAGGCAAACTTAAAGCATATGGATGACCAAATTAGCGACAAAGGGCTTCACTCAAAAGGAAGGAATACATTATCATGAGACCTTTTCCCCATGTTTTAAATTCACAACAATTAAAAGTCTCATTGCTCTTGTAGTCAAACAACATTGGGACATGCATCAATTTGATGTCAACAATGCCTTCTTACACAGGGATTTAAATGAGGAAGTATAAGGTCATCCTTTGACTTCTCCATCTCAGGTTTTCAATTTGAACAAGTTTCTTTATGGCTTGAAACAAGCTTCAAGACAATGGTACTCCAAACTTTCTGTTGTTTTGAAAGAATAAGGTTATTCACATTCACCTAATGATCATTCTCTTTTCCTTAAAAAGAGTTATTCTACAATTTTCATAGTATCAATCTATGTTGATGATGTATTGGTGACTGACAATAATACATAAAATGTTATCAAGCTAAAGACCTTTTTAAATGACAAATTTCAAATCAAGGATTTTGGTCTTCTCCATTATTTGTTAGAAATTACGTTCAATAAAATTAAAGGTGGTATGGTTGTACATCAACGAAAGTTCATTAAGAATTGCGACACAATTATGGCATACAGGATACACAAATTTCTCCTTCACCTTCTCAAATCAAGTGATAACCAATAATGAACAATTCTTTGTCTGATCCCACAATTTATAGGAAATTGATTAAAAACTCAACTTTCTTGTACGTACTCGTCCCTATTTGTCATTCTCTATTCAGTATTTAAGCCAATTTAACAAGTCATATTAAGAAGTTATTCATGTACTTCAATACCTAAAAGGAACAATCAATCAAACATTATATTTTAATGATAAAAAACAATTCAAAATAGAAGTTTTTTACGATTCCGACTAGGCTTCTTGTCCCATAACTCAAAAATCAGTGAGTGGATACTTCATCACTTTTGGAGGCTCACCAATTTCATGTAAATCTAAGTAACAAATAACTGTTTTTTTATCATCTACAGAGGCTGAGTATACATCCATGCGTCACGTTTGTGCTGAATTGGCTTGGCTAAGTCGATTGTTTCAAGAATTTGAAGTACCAAATATTACACCAATCCCTCTTAAATGAAAATCAAGCTTCCATATATATATTTTTTCAAACACTATTTTTCTCGAGCAAACCAAACATATTAAACTTGATTGCCACTATGTTCGAGAACAAGTTCAAGCAAGTCTAACTGATTTGTCCCATGTTTCCACATACGAGCAACATACATATATCTTCACCAAAAATCTTCAAGGTTCAAAACATTATGATGTTTTCAATAAGCTTAGTGTTTGTTTATTTTCAAAATGAAAGGTTGTTTCCATAAGGGTATTTTAGTAATTTACCAAATAGATTAGTTAGTTCAGTTAGTTCATTGCTTCTCTGTATATTTTTTATTGATTCATTTCATATATGTTAACTAGTAAAAAAGTTCTCGCTTTTCCGTGGGTTTGAACGAAGCGTGGTTAAAAAAATGTTATCTTTTTAGCTCCAAAATGAAAGGTTGTTTCCATGGTGTTCTGTCCCACTTCTCCTGTAATTTTTTTCAACCTCCTGAAAGGTCTGACGACTGGGTCAATTTATCTGAGAGAGGGCCTTCTTAAATGAAGTCCTTCATTAAATTCATTTACTTCTTAAAGGCCAGTAAACTCTGACCATGGATCACATTTGTGAATTTGTTCAGAATAACTGATCAAAAATAAATACCCAATCTCGGCTAAAACTTACACCATATATTTATAAATAATTAATTAAAACAAATTGTCATAACTGAATAATAATTGCAAAATAGATCATAGTGGTTCTTGCTTTGTACCCAAATAGCATACTGTGTACATATTTCCGGAAAGTAGCTATAAATTTTGCTTGTCATTTATGACTTATTATTTTGCATTTAAAACCTCAACGAGTACATTTTTTTCTCAAATCTTGATGGTGTATTCTTTCATTAAAAACATGTTACATTTATCCGAATAGAGAAAGAACAATTTAAGACTTACCTTCTTTATTCTTACCAATAATACAGATCCCCATTTGACACCAAAATACTTCAGGAACATTGAGACGAAGCAAAATCTAAGTCTAAACACATAGTCACTTCTTGAAATCGACACTACTTTACTAGTTCCTAATTCCATCCCAGTACTTCCAAGCATCCATCTGCACAACAATATTTTCGTTAGAAAAACTAATTTTATTATCCGATTACATCAGTTCTTTCTTCATCTTTGAAGAAAAAAAAATCATCGCTTAGTACATAGGAGGTTAACCCAAAAAAACCATGCCAGTTGTAGCATGTTCCAGGTCAGAAAGAGTGGCTGCCTGGCTGGTGGAAAGAATTTTTCATTGATGAGTAACATTAAAAACTATAAAGGCATATAAAAAAACATCGTTACAAAACAAAAAAAAAACAACAAAGATGTAGAACCTTGACCTTGTATCCATGAACTTCATCTTTGTGTGTGTGTGTGTGTCATTTGGTTGGATATATTAAATGTATCTAATGCACATTGGCACATTTAATAAATGGGAAAATGAATTATAAGCCCAATGAAGTTTCGAAACCGTTCAAAAAACCCCAATTATGTTTTGTCTGTTCAAGAAAACCCAACGAAGTTAACCTTTTGTCTAAAAAAGCCCAACTAACTTACACTTTCATTTAGGGTAAACCGGCTAATGAAAGTCAACGAATGACATGACTTATGACGTGTAATTAAATATCAGAAAATGACTTGTAAGACTAACGAAGTTTCAAAACCGTTCAAAAAACCCCACTCATGTTTTGTTTGTTGAAAAAAACCCAACGAACTTACGCTTTTGTTCAATTCTCATTAGAGGCAACCATATTCATTAGGTATACAACTAGTTGGCAAATGACATGACATTATATTTAATGACACGGAATAAACATATTAGAATTGCCCTTTATATATCGATTTAGGGCTTGGAGAAGAGAAAAAATAACGACGTCTGTGTTCGATCTCTTGTAATAGCTTCTTCTTCTTCTTCTTCTTCTTCTTCTTCTTCTTCTTCTGCCTCTCAATCATTGATGTCCAACTCAAGATCTATAAAGAAGATATTTGATGATGCAAACTCTTGTGGATGTAGACGCCCTTCTCGGATTTGGACATCTAGAATGGAGGATCATCCAGAGATAATGTTTATGGCTTGTTCGAACAGATTGGAAAGTCTAATTGAAAGCTTTATCATGTCCATTTTAATAGGTTTCTGTTTTTCTAAAGAAACCAAACAAATAGATAGAATATGGACATGATAAAGCTTTCAGTTACACTTACTCATCTGTTCGAACAAGCCCTGAACTTTTTTCTCTGGATGATCCTTCGTTCTAGATGTCCAAATCCAAGAAGGGTGTCCACATCCACAAAGGTTTTCATTGAGAGGAAGAATAAGAAGTAGCTATTACAAGAGATCAAACATAGACGCCGTTCGTTTTTCTCTTCTCCAAGCCCTAAATCGATATATAAAGGGCAATTCTAATATGTTTATTCCCTGTCATTAAATATAATGCCAGGTCATTTGCCAACTAGTTGTATACCTAATGAATCTGGTTGCTTCTAATGAGAATTGAACAAAAGCATAAGTTCGTTGGGTTTTTTTCAACAAACAAAACATGATTGGAGTTTTTTGAACGGTTTTGAAACTTCGTTGGTCTTACAAGTCATTTTCCGATATTTAATTACACGTCATAAGCCATGTCCTTCGTTGACTTTCATTATCCGGTTGACCCTAAATGAGAAGTGAACGAAAGTGTAAGTTAGTTGGGCTTTTTTGGACAAAATGTTAGTTTGTTGGGTTTTCTTGAACAGACAAAACATAATTGAGTTTTTTGAACGGTTTGAGAACTTCATTGGGCATATAAGTCATATTCCCTTAATAAATCCAATTAAATGTTCATATGTTTCAGTAAAAAGGTAAAAATCAAGAAAATGAATTTAAGGTCGTTTGTGGGGTGCAATTTTAGATGCACATGCTGATTTGAGACGTTAAACAAACTCTTATCTGGAAAAGTAGGATGCCAATAGAAACTATGATGCCTAAATAAGAAAAAAATGAATGTATATTGTTATAATAATAAGAAGCAAAAGTAGTATGCTAGTATGTTGTAATAGGCTAAAAATAAATTTTAGCTGGCATTAAAATTGAAGTGATATACTATTATGGGTTAAAACTGAAAGTAGGATGACATTTAGATGTAAACGCACTACAAGAATAAACACCTATAGGGACGAGATCTATAGGGGCGACATCTGTCGTCGCTATAGGCTACCTATAGGGACGACATCTCGTCGCCATAGAGTTGACAGATTTTTTTGACTTTTGAAGCTACAGCGACCACTTGTCGTCTCAACATGTTAAGCGGAAAATGAAGTGGATTTGGTGCGTTCTTTAAACACCTATGGCGACGACTTGTCGGTCTAACAAATAACAAAAATTAAAAATAACATATTTATTTAATAATTTCAGGGAAATAAGACTGGGACATCATTTTGGGGATAACTATAGGGACGACTTGTCGTCCCCATAGCTTTCTATGCCCGAAATTACGAGAGCAGGCCCCTTCGTTTAATTCACGCACGCTCAATCAACCGTCTCACTCTCGATCGATCGATCGACAATTCTCCCGTGGCGACTTCCTCACCTCCCACTCCCGGCAAATCTTCTTCCACTCTCTCGATCCTTATGCTTGTTGCCGAAGACCACCGACGATTAGCTTCAACTCCGACGATTCTAACTATCGACTTCATTTTCGCCTCCGGTTACGAATTCTAACGAATACAAGCCCCACTCCGACGACCTAGGTTAGTAATTATCTGTTTGAAACTGGAATTGAGGTTTATGTTAGCAATTACGTGTTTGAAACTAGAATTGTGATTTTCTTTCACAGCTTCTCGTTTTGAAGATGCAATACTGATAAACTGTAACCACATCAACTATTTTTCTATTGATTTTCCTTATAGTTATTGGTTATTCAAGCATGGAGTATCGATTTCTCTGTGGATTTTGCTTTTGCGATTAAAAGGTATTTTTTTCACCGATATATGTTTTCAACACTGATCACTGTCATGACAACCTGTAATTGGAATTAGGAACTTAGAACATACAACGTTTAAGGCATCGACGACTCAGGTAAGTTACGATTTCTTTGTCATTGTTTGAATGCGATGTCTTTGTTGATTCTTTTTGAATCTGATTTTATAGTTATCTAAAATCTGTTATTTGCTGATTTCATACACAGACTATGTCTTTGTTGATTTCATACACAACCACGTGTAATTAATCTGATTTTATCAACATGAAATCTGCTTTTATCATAGGAGTGTAAGTTGTTGATATTTGCTTTAGCTGTTGATTGCGTTCTGCTCTACGGGTTGCTCATCAGCTCTAGTAAGCATTATGCAACTTTACTTTCAGTAAAACAAGTTTTCTTGTTTGTACAACTTTTTAACAATTTATGCTTCACATCACAGCTCAAGGTGAAGTAGGAAGAAAAGTTCTAGCAGATATTAGTAATTCTCACGGTTATCTTCAAAAGAATGAAGCTTTTAATGGCTCCAAATCTGGGTGAGTGACATTGGTCTCAAGAACTTTAGTTTTCCTTGTTTTTAACTTTAACAAATTAACTTGGTCTAAAACATTGCAGAAAAGTTAAAATGGAAAAAGTAGCATATTCTCAACGGTATGCACACCAACATTGCTATTATTGTTTTTACTTTTTTTGTTACTCTAGTTTTCTATAATACACTATTTAATCTGGTCATAAGCTATGATGTGAATTTGTAGGGCTTCAATTTCTACAAAATCAAGGGATGCGAGTTCTTTATCAGGCAAACTTTCAATGATATTCATTTAGTGGTTATGTTTAGATGTTTATCTTTGTTTGCTTTTCTTTTTAATATCAAGTATCAAATCTGATTTCTTATAGGGAGCAGTGTTGGAAGCCAGAGTGAAGCTGTTGAAAGTCGTGTTACACAGGGTAACATTCAGTATATAAAAGTTCATATTTTATCTTATTGATTAGCATCTTATGTTTTTATTTTATACCTCCAACAAAGGGTAGAGTTTTTTTAGGAGTTTGGCTGAATAAGAAGCTTTACATGATTCTGACTGAAAAACAATATGTTTGTGAGCGCAAGGCTGCTGCTGGTCTCTTTAATTAGGAGGTAATTTTCTTTTCCCTAGTAAAATGACTATTTTGCCCTCCTTGGAGTTCATCCCATTATTTGCTGATACAGGAAGATATATATGTGCCAAGAGCACCTGGAACATTAGATGTTATTGGAGGAATTGTTGACTACTCTGGAAGTCTTGTTTTGCAGGTGAACATTTGTTTTCTTATTTTTTTTTTTATTTGCAGTGTCTTATTTAGTTTGTTTTTTTGATGGAAAATGGAAATAAATTACATGACATATGCTTATTAGAGAAGCTTGTCATAATGTTGTTCAAAAAATCCAGCCAAGTAAACAGAGGTTATGGAAGCAAATGTGCTCCAGATTGTAAGTTCAACATAATCTTTATAAATAATGCATTTTCCTTTTAATAATTTCCACTTATAAAGTAATGAAAAATAGGGTAAGTTACATTTTTTGTCCCTGTGGTTTGGATTTGGTCCAATATAAATGGCCATTTATATATATCATATAGCTTATTGACACCAAGGATTCAAATGTGCTTTTTTGTTTTGATTCATTTCTTTGCATTCCAAGTCAATACCGAATTGATTCACAGAGAGATGTACAAACTATCATATTTGCAATGCAAGTAGGATGCTAAACCCCTAGCTGAACACCCAGAAAGCAAAATATTATACCATTTGGAAGAAGATCTTTAGGGAGCAAAGAAGGGCACGCAATGATGAGAAGCAATCCATTGTTGATGCTGTTTTTTATAAATCATGTAGAATGTAGTGTTATGTACACAAATGATAAGGCATGTGAAGATTATTCAAATTTCCTCAAGTTAATAATTTTGTTCTTCATATGAATTATATTTGCAATAATGCAGTGTTTTGAGATTGTATCATATTTCAATGCTTTGCAATTAAATTTACCGTTTTAGTTGCTTTAGCAATTTTGTGATGTGAAAACTGGAAAATTATAGAGAAAAAAAAATAAGCTATATGGACATACCTATAGAGACGACATATCGTTTCTATAGGTGCATCTATAGAGACGATATGTCATCTCTACTGGTGCATCTACCACTACGCCATGTTGTCACTAAAGGGCTATCTATGTGGATGACATGTTGTTTCTAAAGATACACCTATAGAGACGACATGTCGCCTCTATAGCTTCGTCTATGGAGACTGAAACCGTATAGCGACGAACCAGAACAAGATGACATGTCGTCTCTAAAGGATACCTATTGCGACGAAATTTTGTAGCGACGACCAAAAAGATCTATTGCGACGGGGCTATGGTGACAAAAGCTATAGGGACGACATGTCGTCCTGGATACCTATAGGGACGAGTTTTTAACCTATAGAGACGACATTTGTCGTCCCTATAGGTCCTGTTTCTTGTAGTGACGATCTTCCCTTTTTACTTCTTTTATTCCGATTTTAACAATCAAGTATGTTTAATATATTTTATAGCTCTTAAGGTTTTTAAATTTTTTACAGCTGTCCTAAATACATATCTCTTTAGTTCATTGTTTCAACTAGGTTTTGGGTAAGTCTTTAGTGGATAGAACCCTTTTTTGTAACGGAATTATAGCATGGTTTCTTTTCATTGTTTGTTTTTGAAATCTTTTTTAATTTCTTGAGGTTTTTATTTGGTTTTAACGTCTCAAAGATTATATGTGTTTTTTTTCATTTTCTGTCCCAGTTAGTTGGTAAGTAATTAGAGTATATTTGCTGAACTGTGTCTAAACATCAAAATTTGGCAAACAAAAAAGACCAGGTGTGAACTGTGGGTAAATATGGTTTTTACGATTAACAGAAAAAATATATCATTCTTAGATAATATGTTATAAAATATTATGTGGTTATTATGTTTTTTGTTATATATGAACCAAAAAAAATTTAAATATCAATTGGTTGGTCAATTCGGTGGTTTGACATCGATAAGGATCTCTAATTGTATATCCTGAGTTATTAACTTTTTTAGTTTTGTTCAATTGACATTACACCGAGTAAAAAATGGCGAAGAAACCACTACATTTCTATTTGCTTTCCACTACTTTTTTGATGGGTTAAAAATAAGCACAGAAAACCGTATCTTAAAAATTATGAAAAAGAAACATAGATAATTTACCTTTTTCCGAAAAGATAAAGTGTAACAAGACCATTGCAATCCATCTAGTAATATATATCATCAAATGTAGACATTGTGACCAATGGCGAACTTTGTTGTGGTTTTCCATCAAAGTAGAACAAAGACCTGCATAATCAAATCGTAACAAACCTAACCTAAATTGAATAAGCATGTTGAAAATGTAGGAACGTAAAAAGGGTAAAGCAGTGAAGAAACTTATCATAAATTGTGGAAATAAAATCATAATATCCTAATTGTTATGTTCGCTAGTACACCATTAATTATACAAGGACATAAAGAAATATACAATAGCAATACCTCAACTCAAGCCTCTACAAAAAAATGAGAAATCCATGTTTTTAATCAATATATACATAACCAAATATACACGAACGAAAACAATGATCAACCATTTCCTTAAGCTAACAAATATTTTCAATCGTGATGGCAACCATCCAATTATTTGAAATCGACGACCTTTTAGTGGCGACAGGTTTCCGTAAAAGCTATTAGCGGTGACAAACCGAATTTTTAGCGGTGACGCCTGTCGCCGCTAATACTCAGGTACTTATAGTGCAATGCTAGAAACCTTGCCTCAAAAGATATAGGCCAAAATGAATTTAGGTTTAAGTTGGTCAAATTGGTTATTTTGTCTCTTCTTTGATTTCCTAAAATACTATTTGTTTTATGAAAAAATTAAAAACATCGTAAAATGTTACAAATATTTAATCACATTTTAGGTAGATTTGAACACATGATTCGGAATGTTTTATATGGGATGTGGACCGTTTTGTATTTAATTTTAATATGAAGGTTTTTGATGTATTTCCACAATACTTCATATCCGAATTTGTATAGTAGAAAGACGTCCTCTTAATTAGACAAACAAGTCGCTTGTCCATTGAGCTTCATCACATCTCACTTAGGTTAGTTATGTTCGTTGCATGTCAAATGGTTTGTATCATGATCATCATCTTCCCTCTTTCTTTCCTCTCTTTATCAATCAAATTTCTTCAATTTCCTCAAACTTTTCGCATATTTTTCATCACCATGAAACTTTATCCATCCAACAATATCACATAACAACCCTCCCTAACTCCGGCCAGTCATCCACCACCAAAATTCGCCGGAAAACACCATTTCCATCGTCATGAGAACACTAGAACAAGAAATATCAGCAGATCAATTCCCTACGGCTCGAATCCTTCTTGGCCTCTGGATTTTCTCTGTTGTGTCTCTTGTATTCATATATCTTGGATCCGACAAAGATGGATCTGTGTCAATAACCAACATAACCCATAGGTTTTACCATCCTACGCATTTACCAGCACCACAATCACCATCACCATCATCTAAAGCTGATGAAAAGAGTTATGGAGCTGTGTTAGAAGAGGCATTGGCAAAAGTTTCAAACGAAAACAAAACTCTGATCATAGCCTTTGTGAATAAAGCATACACGGAAGGAGATAAACCGATGCTGGATATATTTCTTGACGGGTTTTGGGTAGGAGAAGATACATATAAGCTTACTAAACAGCTTTTAGTCGTTTCAGTTGATCAACCGGCTTACGACAGGTGCACCTTTTTACAATTGCACTGCTATAAATTGAAAACAGAAGGTGACGAGACGCTTTTCATGGCGGGTGATTTACTAAAAATGATGTGGCGAATAACCCTTTTTCTTGGAGATGTTCTTAAGCATGGCTACAACTTTATTTTCACTGTACGAAAAAACGACTGGTCAACCAACCAATTAATAAAATTTGTTTAGTTGAAGCTTTAATTTTGTTCTTGAAATTTACAGGATATGGATGTATTATGGCTAAGGGATCCGTTTCCAAGGCTGAACGTCGACGAAAGCTTGGACCTTCAAATCAGTGTTGATAAGTTTAATGGCGACCAGTGGTCGGAAGACAACCCGATTAACACGGGGTTCTACATGATCAGATCAAACAACAAAACGATTGCTTTGTACGATGAATTGTATGGAGAGAAAGACAATTCAGTAGTAGGGAAGAAGGAACAAGATGTTCTATTGGATCTGATGCGAAGAGGGGAGTCTGAAAGATTAGGTCTTCGAGTAAGGTTTTTAGACACCATCTTTTTTAGTGGATTTTGTGAGAATAGTAAAGATGTTAAGAAGGTTTCCACTGTTCATGCGAATTGTTGCCGGAGCATTAAGGCAAAGGAATCTGATTTGATCAAGGTTCTTCATGATTGGAGGAGGTTTAAAGCTTCCTTCAACGATGATGTATCTGAGTTTCATTGGTCCGATCACCGAGCTTGTCGTAATTCATGGAACCGAAGATGATTGGAGTACTGTTTTGGACTTCACTTTTGTAATATTCTATAAATATATAATAAGAAGACTCGAAAATTATACCTTCTGGTTTTATTCACTATGACATGATACGTACATGATTTGAACAAAATAATCGTAACATTTAAACAATCTGGAGTATGAAAACAATAATTTACAACTCATTTCGAAGGAGATAACAAACAACCCCATCATATATGGGATCATCGATCTTACCATCAAATTAGTAGAAGTTATGAAATCCATGATTTTTCGCAAGCTGAATGACTGGACCATCTAAATTCCTCCATGGTTTTATTGGCTAACGGTGAAGGTGAGGGATCTTTAAATCTCTTCCAATCATGAATAACAGCAGTTAAATCGGAGACTTTGGCTTTGATTCTCCGGCAACAATTGGCATGAAAGGTGGAAACGATCTTAACATCTCTACTATCTTGACAAAATCCACTGAAATAAAGGGTGTCCAAAAACCTAACCCTAATTCCCAACCTTTTAAAACTTCCTTTCTTCATTAACTCAATAAGAACATCTTGTTCCTTTTTCCCAGGTGATTTGTTTCTTTCTCCATACCATTTATCGAACAAAGCGATGGTCTTGTTGTTGGATCGGATCATGTAGAAACCAGTGTTTATGGGGTTTTTCTGTGACCACTGGTTGCCGTTAAACTGGTCGACACTGATCTGAAGGTCAGCAGTTTCGTAATTCAGAGTTAGGTGTGGAAATGGATTTCTTAGCCATAATACATCTGTGTCCTGTAATTGATTCAACTTACAACCATTAGTACCAGATTTCAACACAACATATCAATTGTCAAAGAGAACCATGACTCAAGTTTCATCACAGAATGTCAAAGAATCGTATGGGTGAGGGCGCGCGTGATGCAATTGGTGTATATTTTCATATATGTATAGGTATAGGTATTAATATATAGATAGCGATATTAAATTTGATAGTTGATACATTCGATTTTTTTTTTATTTTAATTTTTTATAAATATACACGTAAATATCACATCATTACGGAGAACATTGGGCTATTAACGATACAATTTTTTCGATTTACCTAGAAAATGGCATTTGGGATAAAATTAATATTGTTTCGGATTAGTTTTATTTAACATCAAAGGTACGGAGCAAGTATTTCCATATTTATTTTTCGGATTTCACATTTCGAACCGAACCTTACAATTAATAAAGTAAAAAAAAATGTATTCCAAAATTTGAGGAACATGTTAGCTTGAATTACGAAATCAATTAAATCCAAAATTTCAAAAAAAATCCTTAGTTTATTACCAAACTTTAACAAAAAGAAAATAAGAACATAAATATATTTCACTTAATTGAGACAAAATTACAAAAATGTCGTGTGTGGTTGTTAAAAGT